ATATAACAGGAAGGGCACTGCAATGGATCAGAGAATACCTGACAGGGAGGCAACAACGAGTCATGGTACGTAAGGATGTATCACAGTGGGCACCTGTGACGAGCGGGGTCCCACAGGGGTCGGTCCTAGGACCAGTGCTATTTTTGGTATATGTGAATGACATGACAGAAGGGTTAGACTCAGAAGTGTCCCTGTTTGCAGATGATGTGAAGTTAATGAGGAGAATTAAATCTGATGAGGACTAGGCAGGACTTCAAAGAGACCTGGACAGACTGGACACCTGGTCCAGCAAATGGCTTCTCGAATTTAATCCTGCCAAATGCAAAGTCATGAAGATAGGGGAAGGGCACAGAAGACCACAGACAGAGTATAGGCTAGGTGGCCAAAGACTGCAAACCTCACTCAAGGAGAAAGATCTTGGGGTGAGTATAACACCGAGCATGTCTCCGGAAGCACACATCAATCAGATAACTGCTGCAGCATATGGGCGCCTGGCAAACCTGAGAACAGCATTCCGATACCTTAGTAAGGAATCATTCAAGACACTGTACACCGTTGTATGTCAGGCCATACTGGAATATCAGCACCTGTTTGGAACCCGCACTTATAAAGCACGTCAAGAAACTAGAGAAAGTACAAAGGTTTGGACAAGGTTAAGTTCCAGAGCTAAGGGGAATGTCCTATGAAGAAAGATTAAGGGAAATCGGCCTGAGACACTGGAGGACAGGAGGGTCAGGGGAGACATGATAACGACATATAAAATACTGCGTGGAATAGACAAGGTGGACAAAGACAGGATGTTCCAGGGAGGGGACACAGAAACAAGAGGCCACAATTGGAAGTTGAAGACACAAATGAGTCGAGAGAGTAGTAGAAGTATTTCTTCAGTCATAGAGTTGTAAGGCAGTGGAATAGCCTAGAAAATGACGTAGTGGAGGCAGGAACCATACACAGTTTTAAGACGAGGTTTGATAAAGCTCATGGAGCAGGGAGAGAGAGGGCCCAGTAGCAACCGGTGAAGAGGCGGGGCCAGGAGCTAAGATTCGACCCCTGCAACCACAAATAGGTGAGTACAAATAGGTGAGTACACACACACACACGCAGATGACGTGAAGTTGATGAGAAGAATTCACTCGATTGAAGACCAGGCAGAACTACAAAGGGATCTGGACAGGCTGCAGACCTGGTCCAGCAATTGGCTCCTGGAGTTCAATCCCACCAAGTGCAAAGTCATGAAGATTGGGGAAGGGCAAAGAAGACTGCAGACGGAGTACAGTCTAGGGGGCCAGAGACTACAAACCTCACTCAAGGAAAAAGATCTTGGGGTGAGTATAACACCAGGAACATCTGAAGTGCACATCAACCAAATAACTGCTGCAGCATATGGGCGCCTAGCAAACCTCAGAACAGCATTCCGACATCTTAATAAGGAATCATTCAGGACCCTGTACACCGTGTACGTTAGGCCCATATTGGAGTATGCGGCACCAGTTTGGAACCCACACCTAGCCAAGCACGTAAAGAAACTAGAGAAAGTGCAAAGGTTTGCAACAAGACTAGTCCCAGAGCTAAGAGGTATGTCCTACGAGGAGAGGTTAAGGGAAATCAACCTGACGACACTGGAGGACAGGAGAGATAGGGGGGATATGATAACGACATACAAAATACTGAGAGGAATTGACAAGGTGGACAAAGACAGGAAGTTCCAGAGATTGGACACAGTAACAAGGGGACACAGTTGGAAGCTGAAGACACAGATGAATCACAGGGATGTTAGGAAGTATTTCTTCAGCCACAGAGTAGTCAGTAAGTGGAATAGTTTGGGAAGTGATGTAGTGGAGGCAGGATCCATACATAGCTTTAAGCAGAGGTATGATAAAGCTCACGGCTCAGGGGGAGTGACCTAGTAGCGATCAGTGAAGAGGCGGGGCCAGGAGCTTGGACTCGACCCCCGCAACCTCAACTAGGTGAGTACAAGCAGGTGAGTACACACACACACACACACACACACACACAGGAGAAGAGTAGTGGAGCACCTAGAAAGGAATGAGCTTCTCAACGACAGCCAGCACAGTTTCAGGGATGGGAAATCCTGGGTCACAAACCTACTGGAGTTCTATGACAGGGTGATGGCAGTAAGACATTAGAGAGAGGGGTGGGTAGATTGCATTTTCTTGGACTGTAAGAAGGCATTTGACACAGTTCCACACAAGAGATTAGTGCAGAAACTGGAGCACCAAGCAGGGATAACAAGGAAGGCACTACAGGAGATCAGGGAATACATGTCAAGAAAACAACAGCGAGTCATGGTACGTGGCGAGGTGTCAGAGTGGGTGCCGGTAACGAGCAGGTTGCCACAGGGATCAGTCCTAGGACCGGTGCTGTTTCTGGTATTTGTGTTCGGCATGACGGAAGGAATAGACTCCGAAGTATCCCTGTTTGCAGATGATGTGATGTTGATGAGAAGAATTCATTCAGACGAAGACCAGGCAGAACTACAGAGAAATCTGGACAGACTGCAGGCCTGGTCCAGAAACTGGCTCCTGGAGTTCAACCCCACCAAGTGCAAAGTCATGAAGATTAGGGAAGGGCAAAGAAGACCACAGACAGAGTACAGTCTAGGGGGCCAGAGCCTACAAACCTCACTCAAGGAGAAGGATCTTGGGGTGAGTATAACACCGGGAACATCTTCTGGGGTGCACATCAACCAAATAACCGCTGCATCATACGGGCACCTGGCAAACCTAAGAACAGCATTCTGACATCTAAATAGTCATTCAGGACTCTGTACACTGTGTACGTTAGGCCCATATTGGAATATGCAGCACCAGTTTGGAACCCTCACCTAGTCAAGCATGTAAGGAAACTAGAGAAAGTGCAAAGGTTTGCAACAAGACTAGTCCCAGAGCTAAAGGGTATGTCCTACTAGGAGAGGTTAAGGGAAATTGACCTGACGGCACTGGAGGACAGGAGAGAGAGGGGGGTCATGATAATGACCCATACGAAGTCTCCCTTATTATCAACGCACTAAAAAACAAGGCAGGAGATTTAAATACCTTACCACCCTTTATATACAAAAAAGTGTCACAAGTGCTATCACCAATCATTGCAACACTCTTTAACAAATCCATTGAATCCTCCACCTTCCCTACAGTACTCAAAATAGCAAGGGTCACCCCGATCCACAAAGGAGGAGACCAAACAGAGTTGAATAACTATAGGCCAATATCCAACTTACACCCTCTCTCAAAAATCTTCGAAAAATTAATTCATAAACGAATCTACTCCTACCTTATCTCCCAAAACATACTCAACCCCTGCCAATTTGGATTCAGGCCTAATAAAAATACTATGATGCTATTATACACATGCTAGAACATATATACACTGCAATAGAGAAAAAGAAGTCCCACTGGGGATCTTCATTGACTTACGTAAAGCTTTTGATACAGTTGACCATGACTTGCTCCACGTAAAATTGTCACACTATGGTATAAGAGGGCACTCCCTCAACTACCTTAAGTCATACCTCAGCAACAGAAGCCAATATGTGTACGCAAATGGGGCAAACTCTTCTGCGCAACCAATTACAGTTGGTGTCCCACAGGGAAGTGTCCTTGGCCCTCTTCTTTTTCTCCTATACATAAATGACCTACTAAATGCTTCGCAATTACTCAAACCCACACTATTTGCAGATGACACTACATACGTCTTCTCTCACCCGAGCCCAGTCATGCTAGCCAATACTGTAAATACCGAATTACAGAAAATATCTACCTGGATGAGGACTAACAAACTTACACTAAACATTGACAAAACCTACTTCATTCAGTTTGGTAACAGAGCTACAGATATTCCTCCTATGTTGAAGGCTCTGCTGAAATGACAGATTCTCTCTCTCTCTCTCTCTCTCTCTCTCTCTCTCTCTCTCTCTCTCTCTCTCTCTCTCTCTCTCTCTTTCTCCTCTTTCTCTCTCTCTCTCTCATCTCTTTCTCTCTCTCTTTCTCTCTCTCTCTCTCTCTTCTCTCTCTCTCTCTCTCTCTCTCTCTCTTTCTCTTCTCTCTCTCTCTCTCTCTCTCTCATCTCTCTCTCTCTCTCTCTTCTCTCTCTTCTCTCTCTCTTTCCTCTCTCTCTCTTCTCTCTTTCTTCTCTCTTTCTCTCTCTTTCTCTCTTCTCTCCTTTCTCTCTCTCTCTTTCTCTCTCTCTCTTCTCTCTTTCCTCTCTCTCTCTCTCTCTCTCTCTCTCTCTCTCTCTTTTCTCTCTCTCTCTCTCTTTCTCTCCTCTCTCTCTTCTCTCTCTCTCTCTCTTTCTCTCTCTCCTCTCTTTCCTCTCTTTCTCTCTCTCTCTTTCTCTCTTCTCTCTCTCTCTTTCTCTCTCTCTCTTTCTCTCTCTCTCTTTCTCTCTCTCTCTTTCTCTCTCTCTCTTTCTCTCTCTCTCTTCTCTCTCTCTTCTCTCTCTTTCTCATCTCTCTTTCTCTCTCTCTCTCTCTCTCTCTCTCTCTCTCTCTCTCTCTCTAACCCACTTTTTACACCCAACCCTTATTTTACACCACATAATCCTTAAATTTATACATTTATATTCCCTCTTTTCTTGCCATAACTTATTCTTCAACATTGCTACTTCTGTAGCTCTAACTCTATTTGAAACCCCTGACCTAATCTTTTTTATTTCTCCCCACTGAAACTCTCCCACCCCCTTCAGCTTTGTTTCACTTAAAGCTAGGACATCCAGCTTCTTCTCATTCATAACATCTACAATCATCTCTTTCTTATCATTTGCTTAACATCCACGCACATTCAAACATTCCACTTTAACAATTTTCTTCTTTCTCTTTTTAGTAAGCTATAAGGGAAAAGGTGTTACTAGCCCATTGTGAAATGTATAGTAAAAAAATTATAGGTTTTAGATACTCAGTGACACTAGTATTGGCAGCCTCTGTAACAAAAATGTTCCTTCTGCTGACAGTAATGGCTTAAATATCCGTCTCGTAAAATTTTCAGAGCAATACGTCTTCGCAAGGTGTTGGGTGGAGGCATGAGACAAGCAGGCATGTTGGCTGCTGCAGCATTATATGCTCTAGAAAATATGGTAGATCGTTTGGCTGATGATCACAAGCATGCTAAACTTCTTGCTCAAGGTAAACTTTTTGAAGAAAACTTCTTAGGATATATTGTCTTAGTGCAGTATTAGTAGTATTAATACAGTATTATTATTCAAAAAAAACTCTACATATTAATATTTGTGTGTAAAAAAGACATTCCTTATGACATCAAGTTTCAAGTTAAAATATTGAAATTTTTAAGTGAATGGATTTTTTTCCCCATAAAGCAAATTAAACTTTGAACTTAATTTTTTACTCAGTTGTCTTTACTTATTCCTTTGACATTGAAAGAGAAACATCCTTGAAGAATGAGACAATCCAGTTTTTGCATTCTATTCATTTCTTACTTTGTTTTTCCTTCTTACTCAAAATAAAGATGTGTACTTATTAGGCACTGTACCAGATGATACATGTAGATTTTTTTAACACACCGGCTGTCTCCCATTGAGGTAGGGTGACCCATAAAAGAAGAAACATTTTAACCACCCCTCACTCCATTACAGTGGAACCCCAGTTTTCAAACTTAATCCGTTCCAGAAGGTCGTTCTAAAACCGTAACGTGTGAAAACTGGGGCGTGCGAAAACCGGGGTTCCACTGTACTGTCATGCCAGAGGTACATCGATACAATTCAGATGTCCCTCCAAACTGCAATATCCCCATCCTTCTTTCAGGGTACAGGCACTGTACCCTGACTGGCTAATTGTTTTTTTCTGAATCCATTCATAAATGTTACCTGTTCACACTCCAACAGCACATCAAGTCATAATATCCACTTACTTCCACTCCTATATGACATGCTCACATATGGCTGTTGGATGTCCAAGCTCCTCACATATGAAACCTTTTTTATCCCCTCCCTCCAATCTTTCCTAGGCCAACCTCTACCCCACCTTCCTCTATTACAGATTTATACACCCTTAAAGTCATCCTATTTTGCCCCATCCTTTCTAAATAACCAAACACCTTAATAACCCCTCCTCAGCCCTCTGGATAATATTTTTTAGCAACCCTGCACTCCCTCCTAATCTCCAAGCTATGAATTCTCTGCATAATATTCACACCACACATTGCCCTCAGATACTACATCTATACTGCCTCCAGCTTCGTCCACGCTGCAACATTCACAACCCATACTTTACACCCATATAAGAGTGTTGGTATAAATATAACTATACTCTCAGTTTCTCTTTTTTGCCTCCAAGGATAATATTCTTTGTCTCCACAGATTCCTCAGTGCACCACCCACCTTTTTTCCCCTCATCAATTCTATGGTTCACCTCATCTTACACAAACTCATCTACCAACAAGTCCACTCCCAAATTTCTGAGCTCATTCACTTCCTCCATACTTCCTCCTTCCAATCTGATATCCAATCTTTCATTACCCAAATCATTTGTTACCCTTATGATCTTACTCTTTCTTATGTTCACTTTAATTTCCTTCCTTTACATGCCCTCCCAAATTCATCCACCAGCTTTTGCAACTTCTCTTCAGAATCTCCCAAAAGCATAGTGTCATCAGCAAAATTAACTGTGACAACTCCCATTTTGTATTAGATTCTGCATATTTTAATCTCACACCTGTATATTGTGTTAATGCAGTGCACAAATTTCAGCAATTTCTGAAACCGGAAGCAAGAATGTGATATGTCAGGTAGCTGATGTACATACTAACATAGCTATCGTTCACCTGCATCCTGACGCTATAACTCCAGAACAGTTCTGCAACAGATTATCCATGGTAGGAAAAGTTTGTTTATTTTAAATACAGTGGGTTCCTGACTTAAGATGTTCTTCAATGGCAGTATTGATACTTTGGAACCAATTATGTACTTAGGAATGTTGATCTGCAGTTATGATCTTTGTGAACATTCAATAAATTATATTAAATAAATTTTTTTCAGTTTTTGACTAAATGCTTCATATTTTGTGTATATTTAGTTTATGCATAGTATATAGAAAGCATTTTTTGCTAGAGACTGATTAAAAACCTAAGATTTAATATTTATAATTTCTAAAAGCTGGATTGTAAATTAATTATATCCATTTATAGAGAGCTCATATTTATTTGATATAGTCAAAACCAATAGATATAATATGATACTCTTGAAAGTGAATTATGAATATTTTTTATTGTTTTTTACCAGATGCATTATTTGGTATATGCCCTTTTATGCATTTGGGAGTTTTGTTTTTGTTTTTTGGTAGTGTGTGGCTTAGAATTGTAGATTTATTTCTTTATTTATTTATTTATTAATTTGAACATGATACATCTAAGTACAAAGAAATACAGTGGTTAAGTGTAACTTGCCAAAGCCCCTTGTATGCAGAGCATTATGGGCAGGCTTAAAATTAACTTAAGATTTACTAAGCAGTGATATATTCAGTGGTAAACATTATTGTAAACAAATAACAATTAAGCACAAATGAGTATTTCAAAGACAGGTCATATGGTCATTTACTGTGTTGCTGAGCATTCAGTAGAATGGAGTATTCTGTTAGGTAATGTAATTAAAAATAACAAAGTTTGATTGGGTCACAGGTTAAACATTTACGAGATACAATTTTTTTTCTTTTTTTTTTAACAAGTCGGCCGTCTCCCACCAAGGCAGGGTGACCTAAAAAGAAAGAAAATCCCCAAAGAGAAAATACTTTCATTATCATTCAACTCTTTCACCTCACTCACACATAATCACTGTTTTTGCAGAGGTGCTCAGAACACAACAGCTTAGAAGCATATACGTATAAAGATACACAACATATCCCTCCAAACCGTCAATATCCCGAACCCTCCTTTAGAGTGCAGGCATTGTACAGTGTTTCTTTTATATTCACCAGTAATGAATTCCAGATTTTTGGGCCTTTTATGTGCATTGAGTTTTTACATAGTATGAGATGGACACGAGGAACATCAAAGAGTGATCTATGCCTTGTGTTATGGTCATGTGTTCTGTTGAGGTTGGTAAGGAGACGTTTGAGGGGAGGGTTTATATCTGAGTTAAGTGTTCTATGTATGTAGTAGGTACAATAATAAGTATGGATGTTTTGTATGGTGAGTAGGTTTAGAGCTTTGAATATTGGTGGAGTGTGCTGCCTGTAGTGGGAATTTATCATCATTCTGACTACAGCCTTTTGTTGGGTAATTAATGGTCTGAGATGGTTTATTGTTGTTGAGCCCCATGCACAAATTTCATAGGTGAGATAGGGGTAAATCAGTGAGTGATATAGGGCCAGGAGGGCTGACTGTGGAACATATTACTGTATCTTCGATAGTATGCCTATGGTCTTGGAAATTTGTTGTACATGTGTTTGAAATTTGAGTCTTTTATCAAGGTGGATTCCTAAGAATTTTCCCTCTGTGAGCTTTGTGATAGGCAATCCATTTATCATTATGTTAAGAGGGACATCTGTAGCTCTGTTACCAAACTGAATGAAGTAGGTTTTGTCAATGTTGAGAGTAAGTTTGATAGTCATCATCCAGGTAGATATTGTCTGTAATTCGGTATTCACAATATTGGCTAGCATGACTGGGCTCGGGTGAGAGAAGACTTATGTAGTGTCATCTGCAAATAGTGTGGGTTTGAGTAGTTGCGATGCATTTGGTAGGTCATTTATGTAAACGAGAAAGAGAAGAGAGCCAAGGACACTTCCCTGTGGGACACCAACTGTAATTGGCTGTGTGGAAGAGTTTGCTCCATTTGTGCTGAGGTACAACTTTAGGTAGTTGAGGGAGTGCCCTCTTATACCATAGTGCGACAATTTTATGTGCAGCAAATCATGGTCATCTGTATCAAAAGCTTTACATAAGTCAATGAAGATCCCCAGTGGGACTTCTTTTTTCTCTAATGCAGTGTATATTTGTTTTAGCATGTGTACAATAGCTTCATTCATATTTTTATTAGGCTTGAACCGAAACTGACAGGGGTTGAGTATGTTGTGGGAGATGAGGTAGGAATAGATTCGCTTATGAATTAATTTTTAGAAGATTTTAGAGAGGGTGTAAGTTGGATATTGGCCTATAGTTGTTCAAGTCTGTTTGGTCTCCTCCTTTATGGATCGAAGTGACCCTCGCTATTTTGAGAACTGTAGGGAAGGTAGAGGATTCGATGGATTTGTTAAAGAGTGTTGCAATGATTGGTGACAGTACTTGTGATGCTTTTCTGTATATAAAGGTTGGTAAGGTATTTAAATCTTCTATCTTGTTTTTTAGTGTGTTGATAATAAGGGAGACTTCTGTTGGGTTAGTTGGAGCTTGGAACAGTGTGTTCGGGTAGTTGCCAGTGAGGTAGTCATTGGGTGGGGTATTTGAGCTTGGGATTTTATTGGCAAGGTTTTTTTCCTGTGGTGGAGAAGAAATAATTGAGTCTGCTGTTTCAGTTGGTGAGAGTTGGGGTTCATCTGGTTTTGTTAGTTCAATTGCTCTATTTCGTGATATATTTTTTGTTCCTAGAATTTCTGATAGGGTTTTCCAGGTCTTTTTTATATCACCTTTTAAGTTGAATAATCTGTTCTCATAATACAATTTTTTAGCCCTTCTTATCAGGCTGGTTAGGATTGACGAGTAACGTTTTGTTTGGTCTCTGGTTATGTGACCCATTCTGTACTGTTTTTCATATAGGTGCTTTGTATTTATGGATCTGAGGATGCTGGGTGTTAGCCAGGGACTGTTCAGTCTCTTAGCTGTCATCTGTTTAGTTTTTTTATGGCAGTGCTTGTTATAGAGGTATTGGGTCTTTTTTTAGAAAATTATTAATGCATTCGTCAATATCTGTATAGATTTCTAACTCAGTGTGCCAGTCAATATTTGTCACTGTTGTTGTGAAGTTATTAATGGCTGCCTCACAGTAAAGTCTGAAAGTGACTTTAGTAGTGTCTTGGGGTAATTTGCCTAGATTAGTTATGAAGAAGGTAGGGTAGTGGTCTGTGGTATTATCTGTGATTATGCCTGATTTTAAAGGGGATATGGTGTTGGTCCAGATGTGGTCTAGTAGGGAAACACTAGTCTCTGTAATTCTTGTAGGTTTTGTTACTGTTGGTAGCAACAAGCAGTTACTCATAGTGTTTGTGAATTCAGTAATGTGTGGGTCCTGGTCTTGCAGGAGATTTATATTGAAGTCACCTGAGAGTAGTAAGTGATCTATATTCATGCGTGCATCAGTTATCATACTTCCTAGGTTTTCACTAAAATGGCTAATGTTTGACTGTGGTACTCTGTAGATGTTTATCACTGTGAGAGGTTTTTGTAGGTAGTATTTGGATTTGAATTTAGCTATTATATATTCCCCATGTTCATCCCTTGTGCAAGTATTAGTGATACATTCTAGTTGGTCTGAGTAGTATTTAGCTATGCCACCCCCTTGTTGATCTGGCCTACAGCTGTGTATGGCTGTGTAACCAGGAATGGCATAGACATCTGTAGTATCAGGCTTCAGCCAGGTTTCAGTGAGAGTAATGATGGCATACTGGCATGCAAGGAATTTAGTAATGCTATGAGGTCATCGTAATATTTGCTTAAAGATCTGATATTGTAGTTAAAGACAGTTATGTTGTTGTTGGCTCTGAGAAGTGCCTTTGATTGTTCTGCTGTGTAGTAATTACAGTTACTGTTTGATTCATTTAAGTCATTAAATAAGAGGTTGGTATCAGGATCAATGCTTGTAATCATAAGATTTATAGAGAATCTATAGTTAGAATTAAATATAAGACAAAGTAAATATTCTAAAGCTAAACAATAGCATCTGAATTATTTTAACAAATGTAAATATGTGAACTAAGGTAGTTCTTTAAAGCTAAAATAAAGGAGACAATATAAAAGGGGCTAAAATAATTTGTGATGAACAAATAAAGTGATGATCAAATAAAGGAGCTTGGGAATATAATAGTAGGTAGTTCTTTATAGTTAAAATAAAGGAGACAATATAAAAGGGACTAATATAAGTTGTGGTGAACAAATAAAGTTGTAATCAAATAAAGGAGCTTGGGAATATAATGGCAAAATAGTGAACTTATTACACTTTAGCACCTGAGAATAGCACCTTGATTATTTTACATTTGAAGGTAGCCCCATTTCTGCTGCCTCTGTACTGGTAGTGGAGAGAAGTGTTACAAAATATGTATTATAATACAGTAGGGCCCCACTTTACAGCATTCAGTTAATACGGACATTTCAAATTATGACCAAATCTCGCTATATGGCTCCTCCCACCTAACTCTCTAATACGATCACTATGCGCCACCCGGTTTGTTTACATTCTCCTTGAGCATGTCTGGTAACTTTCCAAAATTTCAAGTGTTTTAAAGTTATGTATTTCATATTTTCCTAGGAAGTAGGTTGGTAGACAGCAACCGCCCAGGGAGGTACTACCGTCCTGCCAAGTGAGTGTAAAACGGAAGCCTGTAATTGTTTTACACGATGGTAGGATTGCTGGTGTCTTTTTATTTGTCTCATACACATGCAAGATTTCAGGTACATCTTGCTACTTCTACTTACACTTAGGTCACACTACACATACATGTACAAGCATATATATACACACCTCTCTGTGTTTTCTTCTATTTTCTTTCTAGTTCTTGTTCTTGTTTATTTCCTCTTACCTCCATGGGGAAGTGGAACAGAATTCTTCCTCCGTAAGCCATGCGTGTTGTAAGAGGCGAATAAAATGCCGGGAGCAAGAGGCTAGTAACCCCATCTCCTGTATATATTACTAAATGTAAAAGGAGAAACTTTCGTTTTTCCTTTTG